CTGCATAGCGACCTGACCCGTGACTGTTTTCACAAAAAAAAAACCCTTCCCATGCACAAGTTCATGGAAACGTGTCCCCTGCCACCTTCTGTGCCAGACGGGACAATGTTGAGCTGCCCCGAGGAACCGCAGGCGAAGTTGAGGCAAAGTGAGATTTGGCTTTGCTTTTTCCACAGGTGCCTAGATCCCATAGGCAGCCAGTGGAAATGGAACCCGTAGGTGACTTGTAAAAAACCTCACGACCTTTCTTTCACCAAAATCAAAGGGGCATTGGCCAGCATTGTTTCCTAAAGCTGGAAAATGGACTCAGAGTCCGGATCTGAACTTCAGGGCACAAGGAGGGTTAGGGGATGGGGAAGCCCTGCTCACCCAAGGTTAATAAAACAGCTGGATTTGGATATTCACCTCAGAAGGGCAGGAGATGGGATGGTGGAGGCAGAGATTTGGATCAAATCCATCTTTAGTCACTGCAGAAGCTTTCTCAGAGGAGGAGCCTCTGACTTGTGAAACTTGCAGACATCCGTTCAACTGAAAACAGCTGGTTGCTTTTGGTGATGTTGCTAGCCAGCACCTAATTACTTTCGTTTAAACAGAGCTTTGCTTCTTCCTGGCTCATCTGCTCTTCTTACTTTTTAATTGTAGAGAAATCAAAATAAAGCAGGCTTTGACTGTAACATTGTTTCACAGAACTACAACAGGGATAAAAGCCACCCCATATGCTTCGGGTCGTGCATATCCAAGATAAAAAGGCAACTACCCTGGTGGCTTGGCTCTCTAGTCCCTTAGCTATCAGCAGGGGCTGAGGAAAAACGTCCTCTCAGCCCTGAACAGTGGGTTGTAGACTCTGTCAGTCTCCACGGAGGAAGGAAGGAAGAGGGAGCTATATTTAACACTAAACCTGGATTGTGAGCAGTAGTGCGCAGCAGCAACTCCTCTCTTGAGTATCTCCACTGAAGTTGCTGAGGTTCTTGCACAAATACACAGCCATGCTGAAACTGTGCACTGAAAGTAAGGACCCAGCAGTGACTGTGGGTGCTTTGCTACTACTGTTCCAGCCCAGGCAGAGGGGACAGCCCTGGCATAGACAGGTTTCTGGCTGCTAAATGCATCACGTGTTACTCCTGACAGTGCTGTGAAAGTGTTTTGCTACGTAATATGGCAGACAACAAAGTCCAAATCTAGGTGATACTTGGAATTGAACTGCTGTAAGCAGAAGCAGACTACTGTCAGAATAGGATTTTTCAAAACAGAGTTTAGTCAGCAGTAACCTTCCCTGACTCCAAACAGGCAAGTGAGACATGCAGGTGGAGGGCAGCAAAGAAACATAAGGATGGGGATAACTGAGCTGGCTGCAAATAGGAGAGAAGTATTCGATGAATAAGCACGCTGCAAAGGAATCCTCAAGCCTTTGACTCACTGTCCTCCCCTTTTCTATAAATAGTTTTCCTTTCCAAGCAGAAGCAAGACTAAAACTCTTGTGGTGAGCTGCACCTGAGCAGCTACATCATGCTATACTGGGAAGGCGAGAGAAGAAAAACAGTGATTCCTCATGTGAAGCAGCAATCTGAAGTGTAGAAATTCAGTGCTCTGTTGGCACACAAACCTGCTGTCAAGTTGTGTAGGAGTCTCCTGTCTTGGCAAGGGGCCCATTACAAGGGTAAACCTCATGTTGGGGCTGATCCAGTGCCTGCTAAAGACAGGAGAAACATTTCCACCAGCATCTGAGAGCCTTGAATGAGGCTTTTCCTTTCCATCTAAGAGGTAAATGACCTCCTTCCTCCAAAATTCATTCTCCAATGGCAGTGGGAGGATGGATTCAAATAGACAGTGTTTTTCTGTTTTATATAAAGCATCACCTGACTCTGCTCAATGTGAAATTAGATCATGGAAAAAGTATCAGGAAATCTCCCAAATTCTCCCCATTGCTGCACATGTACAGCCGTACAAATAGGAGCAGAAGGAAGATAAGGAGATGGGTTCTCACTGATCAGACAACATGAAGGATGCAAAATTTGATATTTCCTCACAATAAGGGATGTCTCCAGAAGAAAAGTAGAAACCTTAGGTATAAAATACCAATTTTTGTATGAGTGTAAACAGCTAGAAAGGGATCAGAGACTCCATGTACAATGCTTCTTTATCTTCTTGCAAAGGCTTCCATCATCACCAGATCTGACTTCCTTTGTATTTTCTCTTGAGTACTGTTTTGGCACTATGTTCTGCCTAGTTTCAAATTAAGCTATGATCCTTTTGCCTTTTATTTTGGGACTCTATTCCACGATTAATCCTAGCCAGCTTTTTCAAACAAGAAGTTCACATGTCAGGAAAATGACATAATTGTTTTTCTTTACAGTTTTCACATGTTCATAATTTCAGTAGGAAAAGGTTGTGTTTTCAGTTATCCAAACCACATTTTTATAAATTATTTATGAAACATTTATAGCCTAAGTAATTATGAGAACCCCAAAAAGTGTTGAAATTCTTAAACTTGTTGCTTTTTTACTGAGCAGCACAACCTTCAAATCTTAATTTTATTTCAGTGGCAGAGGCAGCTATCTTATCTTCACATCTGCCTGTAAAGCACCAAGGTAGGTAACTCTAGGAAGCAGTAACTGAAGTTTCATGCCTGGAAAGCTTTTGGTGGTATTCAGCCTTAATTTTGAATTTTAACATCTTGTTCCACTTGTGTGCTTTCCACAATACAAAATAATCTCTTACTTTGGCACTTAAATGAATTGCACGCACAAACATGCACAGATAAATATGTCAATAATCTAGGCCATACTGAGCTGTAGTTTCTTAAAGAGATTAAAAAAATCCCCTTTCTTTAAACAACTTATTTTCTCCTTCATAAGAAAAAAATGTCTACTTGGAAAGAATACACCAGTCAGAGTTTTCTATTGAAATGACCCAAAATAATTATTATGTTATTAATTTTCAGAGGGTTCTTCTCAAACAGCTGCAATGTAACTTTTTTAATTTAGTGGATTTTCTTTAAGTAAGGTGATACAATTCACTGCTCCATTTCACAGCTTCACTGGGGCCATAAAAACACTGTCTCTGCCTCCAAGACTCTCTCAGAAATAGAATGGAAATACTTTACTTGCTTATTTTGAAGATAAATATATGTTTGTGTTTCAGGAACTGATGTCAGACAAGAGTTTCTGCCAAAACGCTCATCCCCTTTGTTAAAATGCCCTGAGCTGATGTGCTAGAAAAGTGTCCAGAAAGGAAAAAAATCATTCTGCCAGAGTTGCAATTCTCATCAGTATCTGAGTACAGTATATTCACATAACAGGAGACTTAATATTCACATTTAAGAGGACATTTCATGCCTCGCAGAGTGCATTTCAGGGAGTGCTTGCTCACTCTTGAAATACAGTTCTCTCTCTAGTGGATGCCGTCAGGCCGGTAGATTACACGTTACAAGTCATTTAGGGAACACATTGCCACAATATACCACTGGTCAAAAATAGATCAGTCTCTGATATGACTAATAAGACAATTCTTCATGTACATTAAGAGGGAAATAGAACAAGTGTTGATTCCCATGCCTCAGAAAATCAGTCCACGACAAATCAGTTAGGTCAGGAAAGAAAAATCTTTCCTTAATGAAAACCTATGGATTTATTTCAACCTGCACCTATACTGAGCATAGTTAGAAGTAAGGCTTCGAAACAAAAAACTGGTCTAAGCTAGGTTCATGCTGAAGAACACAAAAATGAGAGTCAAATGAATGGAACAATAGTATAATCATTTGTCCCAGTATAACCTCATGTCATATTTTCTCATGAAAATAACAGCAGATTAAATTGAATTTTTAGTCAGAAGGACTAATCTTACAGATTTAACCCAGACTTGAGATAACCATCTGATTATGACAAGGAGAATATTACTTAAAATTGAGGCCATGGGGAACTGTAAAGTGGGGAACTGTAAAGTGAGGAACTGGTTATGGGCATATAGGGAAGTTAGTAGTCTTTCAGTGATCATCTAGGGAACAGTATCATGTAAGGTTTGCATAAATGACGTCTAAAAGAAGTAGACAGAAGCATGCACATTGAAATTATGTGACCTTATCAAGTTAGCATAAGATTGGGACAGCATGTAGGAAAGCAAGAAACAAAAGTGGAGCAGAATTTAGTAAAGCAAAGTCACGTACTTGGGGATTAGTAAGAATTTCTTTGACACAGTAGGAACTGAGCCACAAATGACGAAGAAGGGAAAACACCCAAGTATATTATTTAATTATAAATGGACACATAATCACATGTGAAAATATCATGAAAAAGGACAACATAATTCTGGGATATGCCAGGCAAGTTATATCCCAGTCAAATCTGGGAAATACCATGACTATTTCATGGGACATTGGAGAGCTTCTTTCCAGTTACTGTCTATAACTCCAGTCACCACATTAAGAAAAAAAAAAAAAAGAAACAACCACAATCAAACCCAAAATTTAAACTGGAACCAATGGAGAGGAGAGCTACTAAGGTGAGTAGGGAAGTGGAGACACTACGTTACTAGAGGAGACTAATAGAGCTTGGCTTCTTTAGCTCAACAAAGCGAAGGCTGAGACACTAGATAATTGCTTTCTATATGGAGTCAGGAAGCAAGCGCTAGAGAAGAAAACACTAATTAAACTTAAAGTTGGCACAGGAACAAAAGGGCATAAACTGGCTACTGAAACAATTTTGCATGTATATCCAAAGAAGGATTCAAGTTGTTGGAAGAGCTGATCATAGAAAAGCTTTCTAAAAGACATTCCTGGCTCTTGCTCCAAGCTAGTTTAATGCTTGTTCAGACTGATAAAAGATTATGTGATGTTTGGTCTATGACAGTGTAAGCTGTCCACTTCAGTCCTATCTTATTAACTGGCAACAGCAAGAATACTAGAGCAGACTCAGCGAAGGAGGGCCTCACACCATCTTTAACATTCACAGATAGACACAAGAGTCAGATTCTAAATGCTCATTAAATTGCTCCATCCTGAACAGATGGCATCAGTTTACCTGTTGTGGACTTGCACGCTGGGACAGATTATGATGCTGTTGCGCTGGTATGGAGGATTCTCACCACCTTTTCTTTCCTTTGCAGATGTTTGTGAGGCTTTAAATGTGACAGTCTCTCCAGGACCGACAGTGCGATACTCTGAGGGAGAGAATGCCACCCTTTACTGTCACATTTCTCAAAAGAGAAAGATAGACAATTTGCTGGCTGTGCGGTGGGTCTTCGCTACATCACCTACCCAGGAGTACCTGATGATCAAAATGACAAAGTTTGGATCTGTCCAGTATTATGGAAATTATACTCATCATTTCCACAAGCAAAGACTTCATCTTCTTAAAGAGAAACATGGAACTATGTACAAATTTCTTATTCTAAGCCTCCAGCAAACAGATCAGGGACATTATATATGCAAAGTCCAGGAAATTGGCAAACACAGGAATAAGTGGACAGCATGGTCAAATGGCACAGCAGCTACTGAAATAAGAGGTGAGAGACTACTTGTTCCAATTCTATCATTTTTTTGTCTTATGACCCCTTTGTTTCTTTTCCTGTAAGTTCATCCATAAGACATTTGAAGTTGGGTTATTTTTAAGTGTTCTCTGTGGATATGAGAAGAAAACCTAATACTCAACTTATTCACTTACACATTACAAATTAAACATTATTCAGCCCATAATAAAATGCAAGGAAGTGAGAAGATTGGTAGATTTGTAGAAAATAGCGTATTTCTTTTGCTTTTTATCAGAATAGCAGTAATTAAAACTCCTTTACATTCAGCTACAGGTCTTTATACTTTTGCTAGTGGGAATAAACAAATGCCGTTATTATTTAAGAACAAAGAGACAGAAACAGAGAGAAATTAACTTATTTTCTGAAGAACATGCAGTGGGTCAGTCAGAAATAGAAGGATTATATTTTACATCTACGTTTTGCCTCTCTTGGTGTTTTCATTGTTTTTAGATCTAGTCTAACAGCAGTTGATAAGTAGCATTACTAGTATCGTTTCAGTAGTTTTGTTTATACCACTTGTAGCCAGAAAGCAGCTAGAAAAGCAGTGACCAGCCTGTTGATATTGAACTTCAGATAAAGAAATGACTAGTAACGAGTGAGGGTTTTGAACCAAGTTGAAAACTAGCCTGCTCTTTGGGATGGGTCAGCTCAAATCTAACATCACTGCATCCACACTTTCAGGCTTTTAGAGAACAGACTCCTTTGAGGGAGTGGTTGAGTTCAGCAGTTGTGCCATTAGCGCTAGCTGGCAAACTAGTCTGCTGTTTGTGGTTTTATAAACAGAAAAGTTGATTCCCCACAGAATCATAGAATCACTAGGTTGGAAAAGCCCTTAGAGATCATCCAGTCCAACCGTATCTGTCTGCCAGTAAACCATATCTTTCAGCACCTCATCCACCCGTCTCTTAAACACATCCAGGGATGGTGACTCCACCACCTCCCTGGGCAGCCTGTTCCAGTGCGTGATAACCCTTTCGGTGAAGAACTTCTTCCTTACATCCAATCTAAACCTCCCCTGGCGCAGCTTGAGTCCATTCCCCCTCGTCCAATCATCTGTCATTAGGGAGCAGAGACAAATACTCACTTCTGCACAACCTCCTTTCAGGGAGTTGTAGGCAGTGATCAGGTCTCCTCTCAGCCTCCTCTTCTCAAGGCTAAACAAGCCCAGTTCCCTCAGTCGCTCCTCATAAGACATATTCTCCAGACCCTTCACCAGTTTTGTGGCTATCAGAAGTACAAGAGCAAAGATGTGAAAACCACAATGTAACAAGAGATAAAGAGCAGCTTCACATTGACCAGCACTATTCAAATCTGCCTTGAGAAATCATGGCATTAACATAATGAAGTTAGCTGATTATTACTAGCAATGATGAAAGACAATAACAATCCAATGCTGAAGTTCTGTTTGGATTAGTAGCAAGCACCATGGATCAATTTGAAATAAGGGCAAGAAAATCCTAGCCTGAACTATTTGGTTTTATCGAGTATGCATAACTTCTCTGGAAAGCCTCCAAGACATTCATAGAGGATTTCCTCTGCTTCCTGGTTGCAGACAGTCAGAAATATAAATAATGACAGAGCAGGACCCAAGTCCAAACTGGAATGCCAACCCCTCACCTGTCTCCATCAGGTAAAAGCCCACCCTTCCAGCACTCAGACCCCAGCTGTGTGCATCAGCCATGCTTCTTTTGCACAGAAGATCAGGGAAGTGGAACTTAAAGGAAAATGTCACCAAAGTTCATTAGGTTCCTAATTACAAACCACCAGAGCAATCCGTACAATGGGTGGGTCAGAAATGTAATCCTGCAGCCAAATATCATCTGTAATCCATAACCTGGTATTCTAAAGAAACCAAAGCCTACATGATCACACTATCAACTAATCCATACCTTTTTGAATCCATGGGTTGATTTTAATGACATAACATTCTTAAGTATATTAAAGTTGTACAAGTAATGTGAAATTGGCTGGGTGGAGGGAGAGAAGATCCGAACAAATTTTGTCACTGAAGGAAAGCTGTAAGAACAAAAGAGGTAATTATTGGTTTTAAACTGCCATGTACCCAGTGACCTTCCACATCACAGTCAGTAACTGGGGGTCCTCGACATACCACAAGAGGAGGTGGCCAGTACTAAGGCTGTTGTGGAGAGGGGAGCCATTAAGGTATGGAACACAGAATTCATTAGCTTCACAGCTCAAAGAACAGTTTCTTGCTTGATTTTTGTGCTGTTTTCACTCATTTGTTTTTGAATGAGAAGGAGTAAAACCACTAGAGCCCAACAACTCCTGAACTCAGTCATCTTAATCTCTGGAGGGCATTAAATTTTGCAAGCACTGACCCCATGTTGGGTGGCTGGAGCCAAGACACAGTGGTTAGTCTTGTAACCACACAGGGATATGAAATGAAACTTTAGTGCATGCATGATTTAGCTCTGCAGACTTCAGGCATTAGCTTGCTTCATGCTCAGCAGTTGTTCTCCCCTGCTGTTCCTGTGCTTGGCTAGGAACTGGGTCTCCTCCTCCTCTCCCTATCTCTTCCTCCTTCACCCCTCTAGATCTGGCTGAAATGAGAAATACAGCCACCGTCAAGAAGGAACAGGCAAGCAGCAAGACTGATGACCCTAACTGCCTCAGCCTTCCACCTTTGGGAAGGGGCAAAGCTGATGATTGGTGTGGGGAAGGGAAGCCGAGGCTCTCTTCTCAAGCTACAAAGAACAAGTAGTTCAAATGCTGTGCTGGGGGAAAAGAGGAGGAGAGGCTGAGATTAACTACCAGGTGTTGTTACTTCTAACAACACCTCGGATGGATGGCCAGGGCCGAAGCTTGCAGGTCTACAAGCAGGGCTAGGAGGCTATCATACAATCCCAGTGTCTCCTAGAGGATGAAGCACAGATTTTTCCAGGGTTTTAGGGAAGCAAATCTGAGGATAACTTGAAACATGGGAACTAAACAGGGACAAGTCCGTTGTTAAGACACAGACAGCAGCAGTGAGGGAGGAAAGTACTGTTTCAGCTGGGGGCTTACACTACAATGACCCTTCCACTCAAATCCTCTGCACCAGATCAAGTAGCTATCTCCAAGAGTAGTACACTAAAAGAGTATTTATTCTAATTCTAAATCTAGATGAAAGATACTAAAAGACATCTGAAAAATGACATATCTTTAAATGCCATAGCAACTGTTTTACTGCTAAAACAAAAGACTGCCTTAGCTAGCACTCAGTTAATGCACCGTGAGTGTACAGGACTTGCTACACATGGGAGGGAAAGCAAGTCTTTTCAGAGTGGCAATAAAGTCTTCAATTTCCCCAGTGATAACACTTGGACTTTTCAAGAAAATTTTCTTCCAAACACATTTCACATTTTACGTTATGATCAATTACACTTTTTATTGCAAAGGGATTTACTTATATTACAGTTAGATCCACGATGCAACGAAAGGAGCAATACAAATCGCCCAAAGCATTTGGATACTTAAATTGTACTGCTTGTGCTTTATCAAATAAGGTAACAGTATTCCAACAAATCACAGTTTATGTCTTGTCTAAGATTTTGGGACAGTTAATGTGTCTGCAGTTATGCCCAAATTTAAAATAGCATCTTCATGCTAAAGCACCAGGCAAATTTCTTACAACTTTGCACATCAAGTGGATGCAGGAATAGGTCCCTTTTTTTGTTCACACAGGAAGAGGTCACTGTGTAAGACAGAAATTTCTAGAGACAATAGAAAAGAGTCATTCTGCTCTTCAAAGTCTGACTTGCTCTTGAAGCAGGAAAAGCATGGGGCAGTTCAGTACACAGGTTTTTTCATGCACCAAGCATAGCACTATTCAAAAGACCTTACCAGATTATGGATGGGTCTGTAGTATCTACTGCTGTTAATTTATATTCAGATTTTGCTACTTGCTAACAGGTTTGCAGGTGTGAATTTGTGTAGGCCACTAAGAAGTTGCAAATACATTTTCTTGCAACCTATAAATTTATGCAGATACACATACTGGAGTTATGAAAAAACAATTGAGTTACAGGCTACAGTTCCTTAATGTGTAACAATGGCAGTTAAAAGTTCAGATACATAACTGACTTCTGCCTTAGGGACAGAGTACATTTTTTCAGAAAAGGAGCCTCAGCTGATGTGGAAGAAGTTCTTACAATTCATGGTCTTGTGTGTCAACTGCAGCAACTTTGTAGTGTTTTTGGAAAGCCTAGCAGAAATTTGAACTGTTCCAGTTTTCTCCTTTAGGTGTAATGAATACAAGACATCAAATAGGATTTATAAAAAGGTTGCTGTTAAATTTGGGTAGTAAAACCAAGAGAAATACATGTCCTGATGTTGCTAAGAAGTGTCTCCTACTCCAGCCATGCAACATCTCTCTAAGATGAGGTGAACCTTTTCCACTTCCACCGTCTTCTTACCAAAAGCATCTGTTCTTTTCCTGGGCTTGTATGGTCAATGTTAGCCTAAAGTAAGTTATTGATCTTCATTATAGTACAGAATAAACCAGAAAACAGTTTATTTGAGGGTAAAAAAAAAAAAAAAAGACATCAGAAGGATGGTTCTCCCACTGTCTTCCTATCAGAAAACTCGAGTAGCGAGTAGTCTCAGAACAATATACAGCACCTCCAAACCATCGTTTGCAGTTGGGTAATCCCTCAAGCCCACTATGCAAGGTACTGTGCATCTCCTAGGAAAAGTAATACATGTTCCAAATGGTTTACAATCCAACGAAGAGACTACATCTAAGAGGACAAACAGAAAATCAGGCAGTACAACTATAATCCTACTGACATGGATGACACAAAGAAGTAGAGAGGATCACAACAATCTGTCTTGTTGGGAAAGTTATGTCTCAGAGTTTCCCATAGAACAGAGTCTGATTTCTATTAAATGTTAGTTGCTTGTGGCGTTTTCAAATCATAAAAATGTTGCAAGATACAGGAATGCAAGATTTTTTTTTCTCCCCAAAAAATGAACAAAAGTAAATTTTTTTTAGCCCAGGGAAGGTATTTTAAAATACTTGCCAAAAATCTACTTGCGTGATGCTTTCATGTAACAAATGTGTAGATTTGTTAAAATACTCAGGATGAGCTTCACATCACAACAGAAGAGAAGATTTCATTAGTCCTGAAAGCAGTTCCATACCCATTGAGTTAGCCCCACACTTCACACCCCTACAGGATGCCCTTTAATGAATTTCCTTTACAGTAAGATACTTCTTTAATGATTTGCCATGTGAACCTATCTTGGAGATTCAGACCTCATTGGCAATGTGGAGGACATCACCAGGCTCCTATTCCACTGCTAGCAGAAAAAAAATCATGGATTAACATAAGTGAGATCATCTAATCTGATGTCATCAAAAATGTCAGCATGTATCATCAATCTGGCTGAGGAAAGAGGGTTTTGAACAGTGATCCAGCAGTCAGAGCATTTGGATTCTAGTGCTAGGTTCTACAGCTGTGATGATATCAACATTCATCCCTTCGCCCAGGGCCCTGTAGTCTGCTCCTCCTTCTAAAACAGAGAGGACAATTCTGTTCAAAATCTGCAGCTATTTTCCCTCTTAATTGAGTTAGAGCATAGTGTGCTGGATGAGGCTAAACCACAACACACAGTCATACAGTCAGCCCGTTTTCCAGCTATAACGGTGAGTTGATACAACTTGTGGTCATGTGGTATTTCTTCTCAGGATAGAACTCCCACCCATAGGCAGGGGAATTACACTGAGAACTGGAGCTATTCTGCACTCCACAGTCAATGGCCATTGATACAGCAGTTTACACTAGTTAAGATGTTCAGCACAGTCTGTTCCTACATCTAAGTGAAGGGCATTGAGGGTAAGTAGATGCCTTCTGCTTTCCAGCTCAGATATGGTATTTCTGAAGAATTTGGACATGCTTTAGAAAGTCCACACATGCATGGGTGGTTTTTTTTCAGATAGGCAGGTATCATAGCCATGCATCTTTAAAAGGCATGACACAGAAACCATCTTTTGAGGGAATTAAGAATGAGTCATGAGCAGTTCTCTCACTTGGGGTCTCTCAATGTGTTATTTGGGTGCTGTTGTAGGAATTGCAAGGCAGCTCAACCTGCCAAGGGACATCCACAAGAGTTCTGGAAGGAAGGCAAGTTGGATAAAATCAGGGGTCTAGAGAGTCAGTCCTGAAGCTGGGGAAATGCTATCACTGCATTTAACTTTTAATTGAAGGCCCATACATTGCATCTTCTGAGAATGAGATGGCAACAGGGAGGTGATCTCAAGCCATAAGGCACTCCATGGTGGGTGCTGGAAGACTGTTTTGTAACACTGTTTTATAACTGAAGTGTTTCATTGAAAGGTCATTATCCTATGAGATAAAGCAAGATCTTGGTGCTCTGAAGTCTGAGGCAGAACTACATTTACTTCAAGAGTTTCCAGAGTTTTATACCAAATATCTTCATGTCATCTTTGGTTTGTTTTTCAGTGATTTCATCAAAATCTTCTGATGATCACACATTCAAGAAAAATCATGAAGCTTGGAAGTTTTTTGAAGGTAAATATGCATCTAACTGCTGCTGGTTCTACACAAGATGTAGTCTAATGCTACAAGACAATTAAAGTACACCAGTCAGGAACAATTCTGCTAGTTCCTGTGCAAACTCAAGCCTTGTCTAAGAAACCATCCTGCAGCGTACAAGAGGTGCTGGAGAAATGAGAATGGAAGGCTCCAGCTTCAGTTTCTCATATACTTGTTATGGTCAATAGGAAAATAAGCTGTGCCTGGCTAATCACACAATGCAATTATCCAGGAAGGTGCTGAACATGTCTGAAGAGGTGCCAAGCACTCTTCACTCCCACTAGCCTAGCTCACTGAATATGCTCTGCACTGCAAGAGCAGCTTAAAACTCCCTTAGGTTTCAAGGCAAGCAGTATTTTCTGTGTAGATAGTGGACAGCTGTTCCAGGAGACTGTGATCCAGAATTTGCATGCAGTTGGGATTCCCTCCTCCTCCTGCCCCAATCCAGAGCACCAGCAAATAGCCAGCACAGCATCTGCAGCTACTGCACTGCCTGCCAGGAAGCAGTGCTCGCTTGCAGGATGGCCTGGATTCTGTGGGGAGCCTTGCTCCTTAAACCACAATTTACAAACTATATTGTTGTACTGTGCAAGGCAGACAAAGCACAGAACTGCAGGTCAGGGATCTAGTTCCAGCAATGCTATTTTCTACAAGAACACTTGACCTCTGAGGCTTAGTTTCCTCTCTGTGAAGCAGAAAGAAGCCAATATACTTCCCTAAGGACGTTTAAAGACATTAATGGGTAGAGCATCCTTAAAGTACTCTATTTAGAGTTTTAGTAAAAGCAGAAATAAGTCATTAAATATTTCTTCTCCTTCTGAACAAAATACTACATCTGGATCTGCCATGTTACAACTCCTGTCAGCTCCACTGGGAATGTGTTATGGCACCTCAATGAAAGCCATAAAGGGAGACTGAGGCTGTAAATTGATAAATAAATAAAAATATACAAAAATTTCAAGCCAGTGCTGCTACCAGAAGAAGTAATCATAGGCTTTCATCCTTATTCTTCAGCTACTCAGCACTGCCTCCCCACTGACACTTTTCTTGATTAAAAAAAAAAAAATTAAAAATGAACACTTGTTTGAACCGTGAAATAACCCAACTGCTGGATCCCTTTCGTTTTTCAGTTGCCCCACCAAAAAAAAAAAAAAAAAAAGAAGACAAAACCCCAAACCAGCACTTTTGTCTCTCCTGAAAGCAAGTCCTCTTAGGTGTAGTTACAGCTATTTACATTTATGGAGACTTCAACCATACTTTAAACTAAACAGGATATTATATGAAACTTTCAAGAGTGTTAAATTACTTCTGAAATGTTACCCTAAATCTTTTGGGCCAGGGTCTATTTAGATCTTGTAGATGCAACTTTTTTTTGATGCTATAAGCATGCATTATACAGCTGCAACACTTACCATCATCTATGCTTGACTTTCAGATCTGTATGTGTATGCAGTGTTTGTGTGTTCGATAGGAATCATCAGCGTCCTCCTTTTCACACTTGTCATTCTCTGTCAGTCACTTCTGAACAAGAGGAGATCCACCGGTGAGTGAAATGTCATTCTTGCTAACTGCAAGGTCCTTACCAAAGAGGGAGCGGGGGGAGAAGGGGAATGCAGGAAAAGCGGGAAAGAAAAATATCTCCTTGCCTTGATTTTAATAAAAACAAAACAAAAAAAATCATTTGTAGAAAAAAAAAATGCTGCCAGCAAAACTAGAACAAAGGCATTTTGCTCGCTTTGAATAGCTATTTCACTTTATGTTTTCTTTGGACTTACAAAAATCTTTCAGCTTTGCATAAACATAAACTAAACATTGTTGAAATTTCTTGTTGAAGTTGGTTGAAACTAACTGTTCTATCATTAAATTGCATTCTGATTAGATCTAGCTAACATTTTGCATGAGTGACATTCCTGCAGATGTTCAGAGAGATTACAAAACAGTCTTACTCTGTTCTGTTTTATTCTCCCTTCCTGACTAGCTGTCAATATTCTTGGGAATATGGGGGTTATCAGCACACTCCCATTTGTAGTGTCCTTTGAAACTAAAGCATCATTTCACCATTCAGATCTGCCTTTTCATAATAATCTTGCAAGATCAAGGATTACTGTTTCATTCTTCTCTTCCTCAGAGAGGGTTTCTCAAAGAGCCCCCACCTGCATGAAAGCAGCCCTGTTGTAATCAAAAGTGCTCTTTGAGATCTGTGGCATAGCCAGTGCAGCCTCTACTTTCATTTTGGTTTTAGGGTGGCTTATTTGAACACCTCACACAAGCTGTGAGGATGAGATAGCAGCATGCTTAGCAGCCACCATCTTAGAGGAGAGTGTAAGGACCATATCTGAACAGAAGTTTCAAATAAAGTTTGGTTGCTGAGTTGTCCTGTTAATGACAGGAGAGAATCATGGCTTTGCTGCCTCTTCAGCACTACACACACCATGGAGGAGTGAGTGACTCAGATGCTCAAGGGAGAGGACATGTAAACCAAAAATAGATGTATACAGGAGTCCTTGACTGACCACAAACACATTTCAGTCTGTGGCTCTGTCTTCCCAGTAGCACACTCAGTAGAGTAACTGATTCTAACTGAGCCCAACAACTCTGCTTGCCAAGAGGAAGGAGAAAAATCAGTGTTATTCTTCCTACCCTGTTAAGTGCTGACAAAGGTTTTGTGCCAAGGGAGTACCCACACTTAAATATGTTGGTCATGCTGAGTCACCCTGAAGCCACAAGCACTAGACACACTGATGAATCCTGTTTTTTTCTTTAGCAGACATTGGGCTAGATTTTGCTTCTGTTTTTGGACATTTTTGCTGCTGTAAGCATGGAAGCAGCTTGGAGAAAATGTCTCTACATTGAACCAACACCAGTTAAATATAGAAATAATATAGAATGCAATATAGAATAAGTACATACGATAGAGAGAAAGTAATTTCTTCTAAGCTGCTAAATCCTTTCTTCACTACTCTGATATCTAAATAATTGCAGCCTTCACCAAATTTTTATTTAGATTTTCAACATTATCCAGTAAACACTGGCAGCATTAAACTTATGAATTCAATGGAAATAAAACAGAATAAAGCTTAACAGACAGGCACTTGGAATACAACAGATAAGATTTTCAGGCACACCTTTCAGCTAGGTCGACCTGATCAGACTCTTTTCCAGAGCCACATTAATTGGCTCAGCATTCAGTGAAGCATCAGGGAATTAAATTTCTGAAGCAGTGGTGGAAGAAGCATCAGTGACAGACAGTCTTCACGAGACTTGTATTGTTTTTTCTCCCCATGGCTGCTGGGCCATGGCAGCAAGTTTAGCTCTGAAGCTCTGCTCCAGTGAGCTGCAGTTCCCTGGGAGGTATTTTCTGCACTCAGCCATATGGGCATGGGGTACAGAGACCCCCCTCCTCCCTCAGCACTCTTCTACGCCCTCCAGAGACACCTTCTGGGGGTTAGGGTCTGACCACACAATACCCATCCTGTCAGCCCACAGCAGTGCTCTCTTATTTAGACTGCTAGAATAAGGCATCTCTCTTCAAAAAGTGTTATCTTAACCTTCTCTTCATCCTTGGCATTCTGTACCCCAGTCCTGGGCTGGACTAGGTATATCCTAGTATTTATGTGAAAAGAGACTGCAGTGAAATCATGAAGTCTGTCCTTCCTTGAGGAAGGGAGGAAAGACAGAAACAGCAAAGCAATCCTTCCTGTGCATCACCCCAAGCCTTTAGGCACAGCTGTCCTCCACCTTCAGTGAGGTGGTTGTGGCATCATCTTCCTCAAAAGTCCTTCAAGAGAAGCCTGGCTCTGCTCTTCCCCATGAGACCAGGTCAGGGGCCCAGGACAACCAAAACTGTCTCCTTATCTCACCTTTCCAGGCGGATTTCCATCAGGCCTTCTTCCTGTACCTCTCCAGTCAGCCCACGCCTGTCACAGGGACACCAACAGCTCCCTCCACACCAGCTTCCTCCCCTAGTTCCTCAGCCCTAACACCACAAGGAGGATACACGACACAATACAACACAACCCTGCGCCGCCTTACCCTACCACCACATACAGGGAGTGAAGGCAAACACCCAAGTAAGCACAGGGGGAAGAGGGAGGGAAATCTCAGATCAGCCCTCTACAAGAACAGCCAAGCCTGGAACAAACAGCAACTCATACCTGAACTAAGAGTTGGGATTTGCAGTAGATAAAGCTGGAGATGATCCCTCTGGAATGTCTGTCTGTGAAACCTGAGCAGATCCTGGCTCACCTCAGGCAGGGTTCTGACACGAGAAGGGTAAAGCTGAACCTCATTGTTTACCAAAGGTTTGATTGGGTTGGCACTGCAGCTGGGGCTGGCCCATAGCACAAGGCAGCTATGGGATGCTGTGGGATGCAGCTGGAAACCCTTCTCCGGTTTTGGTAGAAGCCTCTTCCCATTTGTTACAGCAGTGGTTGCTCTTCCCAATGCCTGGTTCAAAGGCTTGGAATATTTACTG